TGGGGTCGATAGAGATCAAGTTTAGGGATGGTAGAGGCCAAGTATGAGGCATTGCATTTAGGGGTGCAACTTGGGTTAGGAAACCCGAACCCAACCCGAGCCTAACCCGATTTTTCACGGGCTTGGACAATAATTTTTACAATTAGGGTTGGGCTTGGGTTGCAAAATCTCAACCCAAATTGAGTTAGGGTTGGGCTTAGGTTGAAGTGCTAGCAACCTAAGCCAACTCGAACCCAAATTATAATATTATTTTCATATATATTTTTATTTAAAAATACATTATATATAATATTTAAACTATGATTATCTTTTTTCTTTTCAACTTCTTTTGTTAAATCTTAACTTATTGTATGTTAACATTTAGGAGAATTAATTTTCTAAGAATTTGTTTGTAATTTATTAAAAATCTACAAAAAAATCTTTGAACTTTTTATTGTTTAAGAGTAATTTAATAAAAAACTAATTCAAAATTATATTAAATTTTCAATGTGAAGATTAGTCATATGAGTAACCCAAATTAACCCGAAATTTTAACACGAAATCTAAACTCGAGTTGCAAGCCCGAATTTAAAAGTAGAATGATGGGTTGGGCTTAGGTTGAGTAGTTAGGGTTAGTGATATGGTTGGGGCTTGGGTTTAACATTTTATATAGTGGGTTGGACTCAAGTTATACCTCAAACTCGCCCAAATCGCCCGAGTTGCAGCGCTAATTGCATTGCATTCTATGCATACTTGTGTTGAAATGCTTAAATACTATTGATAAGGTTGATTCGTGAATTAAATGTTATGATGACCCCAAGTATGATCCCGGTTTTCTTTTTATCCCGTATATGTGATGTATGGCTCAAGAGAGTCCAAAATTGGCGCCTTAGGAATCTTCTACTAAGCCTCCGTGCTCACTTCTTCCTTTAAATATTTTTCAGGTTATAACAATGGATGTAGTTGAGGACGGACCCTCACAAGTGTAGTTAGGGTTGACGAAAGCAGCATTTTGTATTATTTTGTATTAGACGCTTAAATTGATATAAATTGTTGTAAAACATTGTAATTTGACCATAAGACTCTAAACTTATATTTGTAATCTTTTGAATTATTTTTTATTCATTTCGGATATGTAAATGATGAAACTATGACTATGTTTATACATGAACTTTTGAAATGAAAAGCGATTCAAAAATGTATTTCAATGTTTCACTTTTCGTATTAATACATGCTTGTGAGTTGGGATAGGGGCAAGGAGGTAAAAAATGACCAAACGGGTGTTCGGTATCTTAAACGGGGGAAAAATGGGCAAAAACCCTTCGAGCGCTCCATGCTTTGCTGCCAGCGCTCGGCGCGCGTGCCGGGGTGCCCAAGACATACCCCGAGCGCTCCGAGGGTGTCCAGTGAGTGCTCAGGGTGTGTGCTGGGGTGCTCGTGGCACCTTTCTAGCACTCTGTGGATGTCGACGGAGCAATCCAAGTTAGAAATTAGGTGCTATTTTTTTGAAGGTTTTTTGTTGGCCCTGAGCTTCAACGTATGGGTCCCACGCAGTATTTTTAAGGCTTGGATTGTTATTGCCACGTTGGAATGCAAACGGATTGGTTTGAAATGACATTTTTATCCTTTTTAGCCCTAAAACGGGTGACCTCGAACCATGTTATTTCCTTTCATTTACAAATGAATCTAAGTGACTAGATATGACTGAGATGACAGTTGTAAGGTCCCCAATGCGTCGCATGGTCCAAAAAGACCAATTTACCCTTGTAACCCTAAGTAGACCGATTTGAGGACAAAGTCGATTCTTTCATCCGCAAGTGCACCAATTTGATTATTGATGACCAATATGATATTATTATGACTTTTAGGACATTGTATTGGTCAAAATGACTATTTTACCCTTGGGTGTACCCGGGTCGGGTTAGGACTCGGACCTTCGGGTTTGGGTCGTTACAAAATTAGTCCGTGATGTGGTCCAATATAACATCAACATGTGTCCTAGTCAGACTCGTTTTAAACAGGTTAATTAGATTACATCTGTAATGAATTTCTCTCTTGCTCTCAACTCTATCTCTCATTCCATTTCCATTGACCTCAAGAACAGATGATGTCAAATTTTAGCAAAAATCAAAATCAAAATAATAGCCCCAATAAATAATTTTAAATTCAAAATTTCGTTTATAAAAATCCATATGTGGAGTAGTAGCCACATCAATTTTTTCCCCCTTTTTTAGAGCATATCATTGGCGGATCCAGGGGTGGGCTTGAGCCCACCCAAATTTTATTTATTTATTAATTTTTTTTTACTATACCTAGTTTTAGCCCAACTAAAAAAAAAAAAAAAAAAAAAAATTACTACTATTAGCCCACCCCATGTACAATTCCTGGATTCGCCCTTAGTCGCCATCATCATATTCGCCTCTCTTATTGGTAGACATTGTCATCTTGTCAACATTTTTGTGGTCCTGTTTTTGAAGTTTAAAGGATTACGTTCCAACTAATTTCCATGTTCATATTTTATAGAGACCATTGCTTAAACTTTTTCTATATAGATGATGAGCTGTGGATGTAGATGTAGTCATGGCTAGTATTCAATTCTATATTTGTTTGAAGCCGAGATTGGTTTTTGACCCAAACAAATTTTGTTATTCAATCTAAAATGGATGAGAGATGGGTTAGAGTACGAGAAAACCATTTGAATTTATTAACAAAAGGGTAGAAACGACATATTTTGTTGTTTTGTGATACATGACAAGAAAATTCACTGATGCGACTGTGTTCTTACTCTCATGTTCTGTGCATGCTCTCGCTTTCATTTATATTATATGCGACTTAAATTTTACCGCTTTCATATTCCCACTTTCAAATTCGCTTTCACTCCCGCTCCGACTTTATGTGACTTAGGTCTTCTAATTAAAAGATTTGAAGAAAAGTAATATTTTTACGTCTCAGAATTACCCTTTGGGGTATGAGGTAATTCACCATAAAATTAATTCTTGTTTTTAATCTCTCTCCTTGTATTTTATGCAAAATTGTCACATGATAATTAAATGAAAATGATAAAAGTTTGAAATAACTTTTTCACTCCCAAGGAAACAAATAATTTTTTTTATTAAAAAAAAAACTAGAGAGGAGAAAAGAATGAGAATATCCGTGTCAATTGTGAGCATCTAATACTCCTAAAAGGATCAACAAGTAATATTCCATTCTGTATCACAATCCCCTGAATTTTAATCCTAAATTTCAACTTTATTAATATCATTTAATTACTATTATTATATCACCCCCTAAAAGCACAAGAGGTAGATCAGAGGAATGTTGGATCAACTTGAGAGAGCCTAGTAGACATCCTACAAAATTCTTCAAATACAATCTTTATGTTATATTTGGGAGTAATGAATCGAAAATTTTAAATTAGAATTGAAAGAAATTAAAATTGAATTTGAATTTGAATCAATTTATTCTCATTCTAAATTCAAAATATCGATTCCGTACACTCAAACTCAACATATAAATTAATTTAAAATGAATTTCACTAACTCTAAATTTCAATATCATCAACACAAGTTTCTTAAAAAACATAAGTGGCATATCAATTTGAGAGCATCAATAAGAACAATTCAACATGGGATTCCTATATGCCATTCCACATATTATTCATTTTGCTACATCATTTGGCATTGATAACGCCACTACTGTGTATACTGGCTCTAGTTTATCAATCCTTTTCTTCATTGTTCGTTTATTGACTTGCTATTTCTTGCCTTTTGTGACCTTTATTAAAGATATATGCTTTTTTTTGCTATGCTATGATAAGAAGAGATATATATATATATATATATATATATATATAAAATTGCTGAGAATACAACCAACAGTGTAACAATTGCATATCTTATCAGAACTAGTGTGAAAATAAACTTTGATTTGAGATGTTGGTGGAGTCACTGTAAGCATAAATTTAAAGATATTATCTTCATTCACTTACTAATTTCTCCTTGAAAAGTGAGAGATTATAGTGTGACAAGTGTTATAATCACTTTGAAGAATACATTGAAAAAAAAATATCAACTAAACAAGCTAATCTTTACTCTTTAGTGGTGTCACTGTTAGCGTTTCAATTTTTATTTCTTTCATCTCTTTTGGTTCAATCTTGTCATTTACTAGTTTTCATACATCAAATCTGTTCTCATCATTTACTAGTTTTCATACATCAAATCTGTTCGCATCTTCTAATTCGCTCAAGCCCAATAGGGTTCGTCTTAACGGATCCAGAGGTCGCCATATTGTGAAACCCAATTCAGGCCCACAGCAGAGGAAACACCAAGTAAAAACCAGGATCATTGAAATTGTGAGATATATATATATATTTTTTCTATGGGTGGTTAAACCATTAGGTGTTAGGCTAATGACTCATTGATAATATTAAACAAACTTGTGAGTTTGCAAGGATTCAAGTTCAAATATTTCATAAGGCTTGGTTGAATGAAATTAGATAAGTTTTATAATTTGAATCGGTAGAATTAGAGTTGAGTAATTCACAAAATTAAAATAGAAAATTTCAATTTCATACAAAGAATTGTAACTAACTTCTTTTCTTTTTAGTCGATAGATAGTTATACAATTTTCATAATTAAAAGATCTTGTAATAAGTAAATGAAAATAATTTCTTATTATCGGAGGGGATAGCCGAATTGGAACTTAAACGATTGACAAACTGAATTGCTGCTTAAAAAAGTTGAAAAAAATTTAGCTTTCCATATTTATAAAATAGAGTTACCTTATTTATCGTTTGGACCCGCTAATGATTTGAGAGTTATTAGTAATTAGTGAGGAAGAAGGGTAGATAATTCGAATAGAGTTACCAAATAGGGCTTGGACGGCAGTTGTTCTAAGTAATTAGTGAGAATATTGATGAAGGTACTTAAACTTAAACCTAATCCTTTATCACGCACCGTCACACACGATTAAAGCTTTGAATTAGATACCTCCAGAAATAAAAAACCCAAGGGAATAAGAACTCGCTTCCAACCCAATTGCAAATGCAAAAACAAAAAGGAGAGCGAAAATTTAACTTCACTTTACAATATAAAATACTCCAATAAAACATCAAATATATAATTACACACACGTACATACGCTCACTTTGTTGGTTTGTTTGTTTGTTTAATGGGAAAATCGGTTCCCTCTTCACCCAGGCTCCAAGAATTCGCCAGGCTGGTCTCCTCCAACAAGCTGCACCATCCGGTACACGGCAAATTCGCATCGAGACCCCGATTTGTGCCGTCGTCGGAACCGGCGAATCCAAGAGAGGTCCGAGTCGAATCGGAGAGGTTGAGGAGGGAGAAGATGGAGGAGAACTCGGAGATCGGGGAGCAGCGGAGACCAGTGCCGCTGTCGCACGTGGTTTCCGACTGCGTGAAGCGGTGGTTTCAGGATACCATCAAGGAGGCCAAGGCCGGCGACACCGCCATGCAGGTCTTGGTGGGTCAGATGTATTGTAGTGGCTATGGTGTCTCTAGAGATGCCCAAAAGGTGTTTCTTTGGTTTTGTTTTTGGTTTTCTTTGGCTTAATTTACTGTCACCTAATTTTTTTGGTATTGAATTTTTAAGTAACTTGGTAGGTATTAGGGTTTATCTTGAGTTCTGGCAATTGAGGGTACTTTTAACCTATGTTTAGTTCCAAGATTGTGAATATAACAATTTTAATTTCTTTGTCCCAATTCAGGGACGAGCTTGGATTAATAGAGCTTCAAGGAGTCGATCTTCAGCATGGAAAGTTAGTGATAAACGTCCAGGTTCTCTCTCCATCCTTTCTTCCTGTGGGCTACTGATATTGGCTATTTTATTTTTGCTTATATTTATTTTGTTCTTCATTTAGGTTACAATGTCAGTGATTCTGATTCAGATGATATGAAGGATGAAGCCAAATAGGACAAAATTGATTTCTTGAGAATTTGACAATGACAAAGTCAGTTGGACTCTTTTCCATTTCTATTATTCTTGTTATTTGTTCTTTAATTAATCTGGTTTTAATTTATTTGATATGGTCCTACATGAATTCAGGGTTGCAAGTATATATGTGATTGTATAAGAGAATATATACATATTATATATCCTATATTGAATGCACACTCCATTTTTATTTTTTGCTGGAGGTGTATGAATTCCTGTTCTATGTTTTTAGCTCATGCTATATTCGGAATCCAGTCAACCGGAGATAATACTGTGTTTCATCTTTTTGATGCTCTCTCCATAACTGTGTTAGTTTTCTCATTCTTATTTGCATTGGCATATTTTGGCATGATTCTAAAGTAATTGAGGCTCTAGAGTCAATACAACATAGATCTATTATTGAGCCACACCAGTGCTTTGGAGGATGTTCCGCCTTACTGGTGTGGAGGCAAGTATTGTTTAAATTTAGCGAGTCAAGGAATCGTGGTTCCCATTGTTTTTATTAAAGTAGTTGAAGCGTTTGGAAAAAAAAAAAAAAAAAAAAAATAGTTAAACTGTTGTTAAAACTGTGTGCCTAGGCTCCAGGCTCATACAGTGCCTTTGACAACATTTGCATTCCTTTAATATGGAATATGAATATGCTTTAATAGTAATTTAATTTTTCAATTGTGCCTGCCGCTTCACTCAAGCGCGCACCCCACCTTGCGCTTGGGCTCCAAAGGACCTCTAGCGCCTCAGTGTGTCTGGAGCCTTTGATAACATAGGTTCAGATTTCACAGCCGCGGTTGATGCAGTGAGAGGGTGTGTTATTGAATATAAGGTTTTAAATTTCACCCTCTTACTTAGTTTAAACTCTTTGAGGAATTGGTTTGTTTATGTTGTATCAGGCTTAATCTTGTGTTGTTGAGGTTGTGCTGAATGTCAAAAGTGTTGAGACTCGATTCTTGGATCATGTTGACTATTTGATGGTGAATGAGATAAGACTCAGTTCAGATTTCTCATCCGTGGTTGATGCAGTGAGAGGGTGTGTTATTGAATATAAGTATTTAAATTTCACCCTCTTACTAGTTTAATCTCTTCGAGGAGTTGGTTTGTTTATTTTGTATCAGGCTTAATCTTGGGTTGTTGAGGTTGTGTTGAATGTCAAAGGTGTTAAGACTTGATTCTTGGATCATGTTGACTATTTGATGGAGAACGAGATAAAACTGACACACATGAGCTGCACGTGTTTGGCCTCTACTTTTGGGGTCTAATATTAAGGGTAAAGTGCTAAAAACACCCCAAATGACGCTAGGGAGTCGCCCTAGGTCAGGGATAGCTAGCCAATCTTTCTCTCGTGGTGGCGGGGAGTCGCCTCGTGCCGGGTTGTATTAACTGATTTGGTGTGAGTGTGTTGAGTGTGGGGCATAGATAGATAATTGGGGTTCATTTCCATCTATTTTTATTATTTCGGTAATATTTCAGTTTTAGGGATATTTTAGTAGTTTATTATTTTAGGGTTTATTTGGTAGTAGAGTTAATTAGCGTTTATTTTACTGCCTATATACAGGCCTCGGTACATTGAGCTGAACAGTTTTTGGATAAATATTGAATATTGAAATTGATTACAGAAATTTCTCCCTCTACTTCTTTTTCTCTTCTTCTTCTCCCTTAATCTTCTTCTCTCTTCTCTCTTCTCTCTCATTCTCTCTCATTCTGCATCAAACTGGTATCTAAACAGCCCTGCCCATCCTGCATCAATATTATAGTGGGAGGCTTAGTCTTGTGGGTCTGATAAAAGACAGTGTTGTTCATTGGGTTCTTAAAATTCCATTGGTGGTTTCCAAGTTTATGTCCTGAAAGGATGGTAGTTCAATCTCAGATCCTGAAGGAAGAGTTGTTTGGGACGCTTTAGGTTTTTTAGGAAGGGATGCAAAAGAAGCCTGTTAGAAGTGACAAGGATTTTAGTTGTAAGTGTAGTGAATTGATTAAATTATGTTGAGGACATTGGCTATGAAGCAAGATGTAAAATTGGCAATGTTTGGCTTGATGGAATTTTACAGAATTTGATCCAAGGTTGAGAATATTGTTTTTATTATTAGGTATCCCTTTTTCAACAAGGACTTGAGTTTGAGACACTGTAAATATGTTCCTCAGACTTTAGGTAAGGTTTTTGTTAGATGGTTCTTAGTTCAGATCCTGTGTAATTTTTTGTGGATGTAGATCGGAATTTGTTGCAATTAGCCAGAGTTTTGTCGAATAACATCTGATATTGGGTCTCTTGTATGTGATGATCTCTCAGTAATTATGTGAATGTTATCTTCCATCATAATTTGTGTTGGCATGTTCCGGTGTGTATAGCTGTGGCTTCCTAGAATGTTGAGGAATTAAGAATTCTTAGTATAAATCATGAGCTGCATTGACGTATACCCTATATTCCTTCCTTGTTAACTAGAAAGGATATTTTTCTTTTTCTTCACCAAACTTGGTCTTTGTTCAGGTGTGATTCTTTGGCTATTTGTAATTCTTGGGAGGGTTTCAAAATTTGGCTGTTTTAGTTGAATCTGTTTGATGCATGATAGATATGTTACTTTTTTAAAATATATTGAGTATCGTTAGACTGTTTCCAGCTAACTGATGGAGATGACAATAGAAACTTAAAAAAAGGCTTCCTGATCAGTTTTATGGTGGACACTGGTCAAAGAAAGCCTGCAAAAATCCAATGTGTAGAAAATTTGTAGGGTTTAAAGATGAGAGGGATAAGAAGTGACTGTTTCCGATTGAGTCATTTTAGGATTTGGTGAGTGTGTCCTGTTAATATACTAGATAACAGGATGGTACTGAGAGGTTCCTTGGAAATATCTGCACAAAATGGCTGCATTCAAACTTGAACATCCATGTTTGCTTGATAGTCCAAGCTTTTAGCACTTCATCAAGCAATGTCACATAACATACTAACTTAAAAAGTAAGTATCAAATTGCAAATAATTAGTGTTCCATGCACGCCCTATTCAAAGTTCCTAGTTTGCTTGTTTGTTTTCTTTTGGTATGGCACATCGACACGTAGCTGAGGCTTTTTCTCAATGAGAAGGGATCTCTGTAGTCTATCTTGATGTGAACTTATGGAGACTGATGCTGCGTTTGGAAGCATCGGAATCTATGTTTTGGAATTGGAATAAAAATAACTATTTAAAATAGCATAGTTCATAATTCCAATTTCAAGGTGTTGATTCCATGTTGCCAAATGTAGCATAAGTGGAATTTTTGCCTCAACCAAATTGGGCAGTGTTCACGCTTTTGAAGATCATGATGGGACTTGTGCTTTCTCAAATTATTTGTGATTCACCCTAGACCAGTATAAGCCTGCATGACCGCTCTATGGTATTGCAATGATGACAAAAATTAAAGAGGCTGTCTATATAATGTTCACTAGAGACTAGAGAGAGGCACCTCTTTGACCATCTGGTCTTTCTTTGCGACATCCGATATCTCATTGGCAATAATAACATTGAGACTTTATACACATTTACACACGATCAATTAGTTCTTAACATGTTGCGAGCTTACTTGTGTTATCATTTTGGTAATGACAAATTGATAATTTTGGCGCTCTTAAATAACAAATATTCTATTTATTCTAATCAGTTTCTTGTCTTGTTTGCAGTGAATCTTGAGCTCTTCTAGTGCACACTCATAGACTTCTGTAGAATTCGGGCTTAGAGATTCTTTGTTGGGTTTTATTTGTTTCTTTCTATTTCATCTTTTGTACTTATCGTCCAAGTTGCTGCTGTATTTATACTCATATTTTTGGGTGAATCATCTTAAGCTTCTGTTTAGAATGGGCTGATTTCGTTTTGCTAATGGATGGGTACATGAGGCAATTGCTGCTTTATTGAATAGTACAGTAATTGGAAAGTTCTTAACCTTTTACGTTGTTGAATGGCAGACTAGAGCAAAATTTTCACTTCCTCAACATCCATCTCTGTTTTGGAGGAAGATGGTGCTTGATTAAGGGTTCTCTTTGATCCTTGTTATTGAACATTTGGAATTTTTTTGGGTTTTATGATGACTAATAATTGTTCATGAATATACATAATGAGTATTAGTTTACAACAGCCCTAATTATGATTTCAATAAATTAATCTTAATAACTAATATCACTAACCTACGCTTCTAACAGGTTGGACAATGTTTTTGGGGCTTTGTTCATGAAGAGATTGATTTCTATGCCTTGCATTTTTAATGCTGTATTATGTTCCCTTAGCAATTAGCTTAAACTTTTTGGTTTATAGAAACAAATCAGTGACAGTAAGTAATGGCATCATTCAAGAAAAGGATTCAAAACCCTGTATGTGCTAGGAGGCATGGGAGAGGAGGTTGAAATGGACCAAAACATTTCTTTATATCATTTTAAACAATCCAAACAAAATTTACATTATTCTTTCTTTTCTTTTCTCCCGCTACCCCTCTGAATCTCTCAATCAAACCCCTCTGAATCTCTCAATCAAACGGAGCTTAAATTCACTGTCTATAAGTGGAGGGTAAGGTCAGAATTTTTCAGGACAATGTCAAGAATCAAGAGGAGTGATTAGGATTCCAAATCCTCTCTTGTGCATAGAAGGGGATGGAAGAAGATCGGATTTAGATTCTGTCCAGGTATCTCCCTGCCATCGTCTTCAAGCATCCCTCCAACAATAAAAATTGTGTCACATCATCATTTTTATAACTAGCCTTTCATATTTTTATTTTATACCCCACTTAATCTAATCAGGATGGTGATGTGTTGTTTTTTTATTTGTTAAATGTAGGTAAAAACAAAGGGCTAGAAATTTTCTGCCACCTCTGTTCATCACAAATTTTGTTGGTAAATTTTGTTTTTGATTTTATTGAGCTCTTTAGGAACTATATAGGTATTAGGGTTGGTTTATGTTGAGTATAAAAGGAATCCACATTTTCCCGTCGTTGATGAAATTTTCCATTATCAATGGTGAATTTCGTTATTGTAATAAAATTCACCATTAGCAATGAAATTCACAATTGTAAAGAATATTGAAGAATCATATATATATATATATATATTCTTAGTTAGTACTCACACATGCATGTGTCTAGGGAGACTTGAACTCCTAACTTATTTTGAAAAGTAAATGTTTGATACTGTTTGGCCTATGGGTGGCAAATTACGATACGACAACATGATATAAGCTGGGTTTGGGTCATAAAAGGGTCGACCCGTTTACTCAACCGTGTCGAGTTAGGATTGAGGAGTTCAATTTGTGTAACTCATTTATTAACCATTTAACTCAATATGTTATAATCGTGAATATGACCTATGTAACATGATATCTGTTTAAACTCAATTATTATGGATAGTTAAGTCATTTCAACATAAACCTTATTAATGTTTTATAATTTTTTTTTTTTTTAAATATTTGGGTTAATTATGACAATTTTTTTATTTTTATTATTTAGTATTTGATTAAATATATAATATCTCGTTTTGATAAATATGTCATTAAACGGGTTAACACATTTACCTATTTAATAAACGGGTTGGGTTAGTATTGAGAATTTTTAATACGATTATTAAATAGGTTGTGTTTGTATATGAATTTACCTATTTAATATAATATTCTTATATCGACACGATACGATACGAATACGACTCATGAATACAAATTGTCACCCCTAATTATGTCATTAGCCCATTGATTGAAGTTTTATATGCCGAGTATTATTTTTTGACCAAATTAATTTCTCTTTTATATTTGTTTGTTGCCTCTCTGTTTTTTTTTTTTTTTTTTTTTTTTTCAGTTAAGAAAACTTGCAATCAAAATAGATGTGACACGGTAAGAGTTTGAATCATCAAAATTATACACGTGTCAAATTTGGGCACAAACTCGCAACCTCTGTGATGATTCTTTTTTCCAATATTTATGAGTACCATGGTTGGCATGCCTGATTGACCGGGACTAAACAAAGACTTACCTCCAAAGAGCCAATTGCTAAATTCTATTTGGCGGGATAAGTCTCTTAACATTTTACTTTTTGTGGCATCCCTTTTTCAAGTCACTTTTTGGTCCGTCCACCCATTTCATTCATCTCTCCGAACAAATTGGTTGCTGGATAGTTGGGTCCTGGATCTTGTCTTGCTTACCTACATTCCATTCTCCACGGTTTCTTCTTCTTCTTCTTCTTCTTCTTCTATTTTTTTAATTTTATTTTTGGGATTGTGTATTTTTTTATTTGTATTTTTTTAAAGTTAGTATTAAATCAAGATAAAATCTTGGTGGTGTGAATTGGTGTCTCTGGTTAGATATATGAAGGTATAGTGATGGATGATGAGGATGGTTTCTGTGGGGTCGATCCTATACCCATTCAATCACAGGGCATATGGTCAAAAAGTAATGCCAAAGGCTTTCTATATCATGATTTGGTGCGACTTCAAATACAACTAGCTCTAATGTTCACCTTTTCTCAATCTGTACATAAATTGCTCAAGCACTGCCATTTTGCCCGCCTCGTCTCTGAGACCTTGGTATGCCCTCTCTCTCCATTTCTATGGTCACATCAAATTTTACAAATTTTTGCCTGCACTCACGGGATTGCCATTAGTTTTCATTCTTGTTTTCAAACAAGAAGAAAAGTCCATTTACATTTAAAGAATGAAACATCTGCCAAGTGTTTGTGATTGTATCACTGAGAGTTCTATATATATATTTGTATTATATTTTTTGTGATGATTTTTGGTGTCAACAACCTGCAGGCTGGTATAGTACTAGGACCAACTGTTTTAGGTTTGGTCCTCCCAAGTGTTGAAGAGATATTGTTCCCTGAAGAAGGATGTATTTTTGTTGAAATGTTAACGAAACTCGGGTACATGTTCTTTATGTTCCTGATGGGAGTGAAGATGGATCCAAGCATGGTTTTGAAAGTTGGGATAAAGGCCTGGGCTATAGCCACTTTTTCGATTGTAGTCCCCCTAGGATACGCCACGTTTGTCTCTCAAACATTGCTTCCGGGCAAGGTACGTAACAAGAGCAAGCACCCAACCACTAGATTTGTGATAGTAACAGAAACCATAAGCTCATTTCCTGTCATTGCCTGCCTCCTCATTGACCTCAAAATCGTGAACTCTGAGCTGGGGCGTATTGCTTTGGCATCAGCATTGATTAGAGATATACTGAACACAACTTTCGTATTTCTTACAAACTACCTTTATTGGATTGCCTCGGTAGCAAATTGGCTTGTGGCTTGGCTAACACTGTTTTTCTCTCTCGCTTTTATTTCCACCATTGTGTTCGGCCTTTATCCATTGTTTTTGTGGATTATCAGACAGACTCCAGAAGCGAAACCGGTGAAGTCAGTGTACATCAGTCTCATTTGCTTTGCGGTTCTTGGCTCGGCCATTGCCAGTGACAATTTGGGAATGATGTACCCGTTTGGTCCTTTTGTACTCGGCTTGACTGTGCCGGCAGGGCCACCTTTAGGATCAACACTGGAGAAAAGGTTGGGTACATTCACAATGGGGTTGCTTACCCCGTTACTACTAACCTACATCGGAATGAAAATAAACTTGACTGAAATGCATAGTATGAGATCCATTGTTGCAATACTGCTAGCCTACGTCATTGGTTTCACAATAAAAGTCATAGCAGTTTTTCTTCCAGCATTGTTATGCAAAATGTCTGTCAAAGATGCTATCGCTCTAGCCCTCATCATGAGTACCCAAGGCATCGTGGAGTTGGCTGGATATGTCACTTTTGTGCAAACCGAGGTACTTAATAAATCTTGAAAAGCATTTTCCTAGTTATATATACAATCTATTCATCAATTATGCTGGCTTTTTAGTTTTTTATTTTTTATTTTTATTTATTTTATTTCTTTCGATTAATAAAAATGAGTGAGAACAAAATTTCCATTTTTAGTTTTTTGTTGTTATGCCTATATGAACTTTTGATGAACTTGATCTCTCCAAGTCTCTGCTAATTGGGATATGCAAAACTTGCCCGCAAAGCCTTGTAGACTTGCTAAACTACAGTTTCGTTTAATCTGTGATCAAACTCGAAGTCCAACAGCTTTTGTTAAACTTGGACAAATGTGACTCCAACTTGGCAAATTGTGTGCAACATTTGGTTGCAGGTTGGTCTGTGCTCAAGCTAGTTCATTAGCCACTGGAAATGTGTGTAAACCATGAATTCCTTGAAACCAATTCGAACAATGCAGCTTAATTGACAAGTCTTTTAATTGACATATGTTTATTTTAATCATCTTGACATGCTTCTTTATATAAGATATTTACATATGTTTGGCTTCGTTGGTAAAAGACTAATAACATTCCCTCTCTCTCTCTCTAAAATTGAAATGCAGACATTAAGTGAAGAAACCTATGCCTTGGTGGCCTTGTCTGTATTATTAACAGCAGTGGTCGTACCCTTTCTTGTGAGATCTGTCTACGACTATTCAAGGACATATATTGGCTACCAGAAAAGGAACATTTTACACTCCACAGACAACGAAGAGCTCCGAATAGTTGCCTGCGCCCATAAACAGGACGATGCCATGGGCATCATAAAGGTTCTAGAAGCTTCTAATCCTACCAAACATAGTCCCATTGCAGTATTTGCTCTCCACCTGGTGGAGCTTCTTGGCGGAACCTCCCCGGTCTTGATTAACCACCAGTTACGCCAAAAGACTACTTCTTTATCGAGCTCTCGTTCCCAAACTATTATTGACATCTTCAATAAGTACGAGCAGCACAACTCGGGTTTGGTCAATTTGCAAGCCTTCACTGCAATCTCAATGCCCAAGTTCATGCATGATGACATTTGCTTGCTCGCCTTCGACAAGTTGGCTTCCTTGATAATACTTCCATTCCATAAGAAATGGAGTTCCCAAGGGAGAGTGATTTTTAACAACAACGTCTTGAAGAACATAAACAGTAAAGTAATGGACATGGCCCCTTGCTCGGTGGGCGTCCTTGTAGACAGGGGCAAAGTAAACCGTGCAGCAACAAAATCATTGTCTTCAATGTATCGCGTGGCTATGATCTTCCTGGGAGGTGATGATGATCGCGAGGCACTAGCTTACGCCAAACGCATGGCGAACTCCCCATGGGTTCACTTGACAATTTTCCGGATATCCCAGTTGGAGAACAACACTCGTGAGGCAAATTGGGAATCCATTCTTGACACAGAGACTTTGAAGGACGCAAGACACAAGTGTTCAACCAATGGTAACGTAGTGTACAGGGAGGAAAAGGTGAAAGATGGACCAGAAACGGCTTTTTTGCTTCATTCAGTTGGGGAAGATTATGACCTTATCATGGTGGGGCGTCGCCACAAATCGCACACGAATCTACTGTCAGGCCTAATAGAATGGGCTGAGTTGCCAGAGCTAGGGGAAATCGGAGATCTACTCGCTTCCTCAGAAATTCGTAGACCAGTTTCAGTCTTGGTGGTGCAACAACAGCTCATGCAAAAGAAGTCGAAGTAGTCATTCCCTCCTTGGAACTTGGAAGTGCTAGTTTAGATGCTAAAATCTAAAGGTACGTCAGAAAAACCCTAACAGTGGAAGCAGTGTATATAGTAAATCTCTTACAAATAGAAGAAAAAGAAAGCATACCTTTCATGTTTTGAGATAACTTGAAGTAATTTTCCATATAATTTGTGCTTAAAGGCAATGGGCTCAGATGTGGCATATGCCATTGAACAATGATTTCAAGGATTTATTGCACTGCCATTGATACTCTCTATCTACACAAACATGCACACACATATTTGCACACACATATGCATTGCTAGATGTATATCTATTTCTGTTAAGTATAAATTTTCATCCATTAATTAACAGAACTAAGTTCTCCGATTTTGATTAGCTAAATACCTTTTCAACTTCCCTCAAAAGAATAACAATATGGCATTCACATTTTTCACTAATGTGTCTATGATTTTCATAAACAGTATATAATTGCTTTAGGATTGTCTTTTACCTAATAATAATAATTAAAAAAAAATAAAAAAATAGAACAAAAAGTTTTACCTTAGAAGATTACCTTTTAGTTTTCAGAAACTTTGAACCTGAAATAAATCGTAGTTAAGTGCGTGCCTGGTTGACTTTTAGGATCCACTGCAACAAAAAGCTTTGACAGTCTTGAGGCAATGTAATCACGAAACCGAAGGGACAACTGGATCAAGCTCGCCATGTATCAGAGATGAACATCCCAACTTGTGGATTCAAAGACAGCGACTTATTTTAGTAGCTGGCATCCATTGTTATACACTGCAAAATGGCTGCGTGGCTAAGCAAACGAAGAACAGAGAAAGAAAGAGAAGAGTGATTACATCCTTTCACAATTTTGATTCGAAAATTGTCTTGTCTTTTATTTTCTGTAATTGCATTGAGAAGTATAAACGACCACCCATTTTTCCAATGGAGTAATTATTGCGAAATGTATCAGCTATGTACTGTGCATGTGAATCAACACTGCGAAAAAAGATATTCTAATCTCATTTCGTCGTCGTCATCATCTTTGCGTAGATTAAAATAATATTTTCATATAAATTAAAGTGTTTAATCACTTAATTTCTGCACCTGAATTTTAATATTGAAGTCTATTACAAAGTGATCCATGTTATGAAATTATATGAGATTTATAGAATTATAGTATGCGGTTACCTTCACATTCTTGAATTTTCTTGGATCATGAAAACGTTTGAGCAGTGAATTTTCTTATCATGCATCACAAACAACAAAATATGTCGTTTCTACCCTTTTGTTAACACCGTTCAAATGGTTTTCTCATACTCTAACCCATCTCTCATGCATCCATTTTAGATTGAATAACAAATTTTGTTTGGGTCAAAAACCGATCTCCGCTGCTTCATCTACATCCACAGCTCATCTTGTAAATCACCTAGTGGTCTCTATAAATACATGAACATCGAAATTAGTTTGGAATTTGTTTTGATCTTCCATCCACCCACCTCTACATTAAGATGGAACTTAATATTTCAAGCTTCATCATATGTATATATAATCATAACAATGCAAAATGAAAACTTAAACCTAGATTGAGAGATGGAGGAAGACTGATTTTCTTTTGGTGGAGACTCAATTTATTTATTTATTTATTTTTTGCTTCTTCCAATAGATAAATAAATAATTAATAAAATACTTTTTAAACTGTGATCGTGGATCAACATCGTTTGTTTAATCATTTTCCAATAACAAAAACTAATATAAACATCCAAAGTATACCGTATCTATATTCAACTTTGATTAATTTGATGAAGATGGAAAACTATTGACAATTCAAAAAATATATTTGTGAATACTAAAACTTTTTCTACTCCAACGATCCACACTCTTTTTGTGGAGCACAACATTGTCTTTGAGACTTTGACAGTGTTTTCAATCTTGGAAATGGTCATCATTTCTTTCATCACTCTTGATTGTTGTTGAAGATTTATCTCAATATATTCGTTCCTTGATCTTAACCAATCAAGATGCTGTCACGTGGGTATTTATAATAATTTAGCATTTGAATTGAAATGATATATCAAATTCTTATCATGAGTCCATGTGAAAAAAATATTCAAAGTTAGGAACCTCAATAAAATAAAATAAAATTCAGTAAAAAGAAAGAAAGAAGGCAAACCCACAACTTTGAGAACAAAATAAATACAGCAAAAAGAATCTATAATATATATACAAGGTTAAATACATTGTTGTTAGAATTTGCATATAATTTTTTTGTCGCAAGTATAGATTAGGAAAAAAAATTAAAACAGTTAAACTGGTGTTAGGCACAATCCATACATACCCAATCACGGTTTCGATGTGGGTCCTATCTCTTTCTATACAAGCAAATGGGATGGGATCTTTGATTGCTGTCGTCTGTACCCCAAATTGAACTCTCTCCCTCACGCTGCAAAGGAATGATTAAGGGAGACTTTCAATATATATACATACAATATATATACATATGTATATATATATATATATATATATATTATATGTATATGCACGTGTAATTGCTTATGAGATTTCGATGCTTGTTTGGTTGTTTTGAATGTAATTTTGATAATTTGAATTTTATGTTAATTTTGCAGGTGTGGAAGTTGATTATGTTCTGAAGTCTGTTTGATTCGGCTGAAATTTCACGTTTGTAATTGAAACAAAATATTGTATTGTTGTATTCCATTTGATATATATAGAGAAATTTTTTTTTAGAGAGAGAGAGAGAGAGAGAGAGAGAGTATTTTGATTTTGTATATGAGAAGCAAGGCAGCCAGCCCATATTCATGGCGTTAAGATATATATAGAAATTAAATTGCTTCCATACGTGGAGCACTGTGGGCCTCTCGATTAAGGTCTCAATATACAAGCTTCATTGCTGGACGTACACAGTTGTTAGTTGTTATTAGTTTTTGTGGTTAACCATATTTACAACTCCAAATTCAAGAACTTCTTCATTGTGATCTTTCCTTTATTTATTTTTCGTCTGTTTAATTTTGTATGTACCCTTTGTTTTCCGGTATAATTTCATTTCCATAGAGCTAGCTAGAATTGTTCATATCCATGGAAGAAGATCGGACAAAGGTACTGCCCGGCCCAGACAATGACGTCTGCGCAGCTCAGCTTTTGCCGCTCCATTCACCCGGCGTATGGAACCTAACAAATTCGAACACCATTCTCCGTTATCTTTTGCCAACGCTTCACTTGCAATTGGCTATTATCTTCATCCTCACTCAATCTCTCCACATGTTGTTGAGACGCTTCCATGTGTCCCGGACCGTCACCGAGATCCTTGTATTTTTCCATCTCTCCCTTTCTTCTATAATATATACTTGTATAAATGTTCTTTGTATAATTTGTTCAATGTTAATCATGTTTTGCATGCATTTTTTCACACACACACACACACATATATATATATATATATATATATTGCAAAGTACGTACATGTTTTAATTCTCCCATGCATTCCCTTAATTAAACGCTCATATATCTGTTTGATTATTGATGGTCAAAAGCATTATCCTTTAAATCATGAAGTCAGCTTGCAATTGAGGATTCAACCCAATTATACGTCCATAAGTGTGTGTTGGTACTTATCATTTATTAATTAACATTTTCATACGATTTTGATTTCAATATTCTGCAGACTGGTATAATACTAGGACCGACTTTTCTGGGACAAATTCCGGGGTTTACCGCAACATTTTTCCCCATAGAAAATACGTTTTTACTGGACTCGTTAGCGAAAACTGGCTTCGTTTTATTCGTGTTCCTCATGGGAGTGAAGATGGAACCAAGCATGGTGATGAGAACTGGTAAAAAGGTGTGGACTACAGGATGTGCTTCGGTCTTACTTCCCATATTTATGGGCATGATCTTTGCTACATGGATGGAGGATTATATAAACTTCACAGCCAGACCAACTATCAATTACATTATATTATTACAAACCATAAGCCCATTTCCTGTCATTGCTTGCCTCCTCAATGACCTAAAAATCACAAACTCTGAGATCGGCCGCGTTGCTTTAGCTACAGGATTGATCAGGGAGTTAATCAGTTTAGCACTTCATACTCCCCTCAACTATACTAGAGTTTCAGCACAAGGCGGGTCATTTATGACCGGGGGACTAACCCTACTTCTCTATATATTTTTCATCATTACTATCGTCATCATCCTGCGCCCAATGTTTCTATGGATCATTAAACACACACCCGAAGGTAAGCCAGTGGACACGATCTACATTGGTTTCATTTCTTCCGGGGTCCTCCTCTCCTCCATAATCTGTTACTTCTTAGGCACTCAGATGTTCCATTTTGGTCCGCTCATACTCGGCCTGGCTGTTCCTGTCGGACCACCTCTAGGATCCGCACTGGTAGACAGGTTCGAAACCCTTTCCACGGGTATACTTACGCCATTGTATATGACTTTCTGTGGCATGAGAACAAATTTTCTTATTATACAAAACTTAAGAATTTTGTCTATGTTAAGGACCATCCTACTTGTTGGTACTCTAACCAAATTCATAGGGTGTTTCATTCCTTCATTGATGTGGAAAATGCCTCTCAAAGATGCAACTACCCTTTCACTCATCCTCAGTGCTCAAGGCGTTGTCGAAATGGCCGTTCTTCACAGCTACTTGCAAAATAAGGTACTTAACAACCCTTTTTCACTCATCTATCTATATATGCTTTTTCATTGAACTTGTTCTTCTTCGAGTTTGTAGATGAACCAAAAAATTGTACTTACAACTCAATTTTGAACTAGTTTGTTCATTTATTTGTACAATTTAGCATTCATGAGCTTGTGAAAGTAAATGCTTATTTTCAGGACATAAGGCTTAAAAGGATATTCCAAATTTCTATTTAGTACATCATCAATATTTATACTTCAATTAATAAACTGTTATCATCTTATTCAACAAGACTAATAACATCCTCTCTCTCTCTCTCTCTCTCAAATTGAATCACAGACATTAAGTGAAGAAGCTTTCGCCATGGTTACCCTATCAGTCTTAATAACAGCAGTGATTGTACCGTATCTTGTGAGATTTTTGTACGACTATTCGAAGACATATATAGGCTACCAGAAAAGAAATATTCAACGGTCAACAGACAATGCCGAGCTGCGAATATTTGTGTGTGTCCATAGACAAGACGACGCCATAGCGGCCATTAAGCTACTTGACATTTCCAATCCTACACGAGAAAGTCCTCTGCTAGTCCATGTACTCCACCTCATGGAGCTCAAAGGCCGAGCCACCCCACTCTTAATCAACCACAAACTCGGCCAAAAGATATCCGCTGCTTCTCACTCACGGAAGATCATCGACGTTTTCGATTACTACGAGAATAAATTAGCAGGGTTGGTCAGTGTGCATGCCTTCACTGCAATATCAATGCCAAAGTTCATGCACCAGGACATTTGTTCGCTAGCCTTCGACAAGTTGATGTCTCTGGTAATACTTCCGTTTCATAGGAAATGGAATTCTCAAGGCAAAATGATTGTGGACAACAATATCTCGAGGTCTATCAACCTTCAGGTCATGGAGTTGGCCCCTTGTTCGGTTGGCATTCTTGTTGACCGTCGCAAAATACAGCGCACCGCGCCAGTTTCGCCACTGTCTCGTGTGGCTGTACTCTTCTTGGGAGGTGACGATGATCGTGAGGCGCTGGCTTATGCTAAACGGATGGCGCAATCCCCAGCTGTTCACTTGACAGTTCTGCGGCTAGCGGCGGTGGAGAACACGGGTGAGGAAAATTGGGAGACCATCCTTGACACAGAGAATTTGAAGGACATAAGGCTGCAAAGTTCACTTAGAGGTAATGTGATGTATAGAGAGGAGAAGGTTTCCGATGGACCGGGCACGGCTACGATAGTGCATTCCATGGAGGAAATTTACGACCTCATCATAGTGGGGCGGCACCACAGATCGGATTCACCGGTACTGTCAGGCCTGTTGGAGTGGGCTGAGGTGCCGGAGCTTGGGGCAATCGGAAATCTACTCGCATCTCCAGATGTTAGTCAACCAGTTTCAGTCTTGGTGGTGCAACAGCAGTACACCAAGTATAAGCTAAAGTAGCCATTAAGTATTTTTGGGTAAATAAGTAGCAATTAAGTTGAGATGCTAAATTGTACAGCAGTACATGTATTTCAATTTACACAAAACATAGGAATATTATTGTGTAAAACAATGGGCAATAATAATTCAATTATGTTTTAAAATGAAAAAAATATGGTTACATTAAATTTTACAAATTTCTTCCTGCATTCATGGCATTGCCATTAATTTTCATTTTGAGTGGTTGGTCCTAGAATGCCATTGTTTTCAAACAAGAAACAAGGCCCATTTTCATTTGAAGATCAAAATATCTACTAATCGTTTGTGATTGTATCACTGAGCATTCTATAAATACATATGTGTGTGTATTATATATTTTGTGATGAATTTTGGTGTGAACCTTCGGGCAGGTATAATACTAGGACCTACTGTTTTAGGAGTACGTGATCCTCCCAGTGTTGAAGATGCATTGTTAATTCCCTGAAGATGCACCTTGATCGATCATCACTGAAATGAATTCGGCCAAGGTTGTATACAAGAGTACTAAGCTACCAACCATTAGTTTTGTAATAGCAACAAGAACGGTAAGCCCATTTCCTGTCGTTGCCTGCCACCTCATTGACCCCAAAATCATGAACTCCGAGCTGGGGGCGTATTGCTTTGGCATCAGAATTGATAAGGAATATACTGAACACAGCATTCTTACTTCTAGTGGCTTGGCTAGCATTGTTTTGGGGCGTGACTTTTATTTCCACCATTGCGTTCGGGATCCAATGTTTATGTGGATTATCAGACACACTTCAGAAAGGAAACCGTTCTTGCCTCAGCCATTGCATACTGATGTGGGAATTGCAATATTGGTAGGTGTAACGGGCAGGGGTAGTGCTACATACCTACTTATTTATTCCTCTTTCACTTTTTATTCAGATTTGATACACGACAAGTACTCCTAGTAACATTCTCTCTTACCCAAACTTACAATACCCTTGTTGTGGTTGGACCAGTACTCTGCCTACCCGGGTGGGCAAACCCAGAAGTCTCCAAGTTCAGCGGTTGACGTGATACTGGATGAAGGACTGGGTTTGATTCTAATACCAATTGTAACGGATTGACACTTAACCATTTACCCAAAAACTTAAGTTGTTAGGTAGTGCTACATTGTAACGTCTCAAAACTAATACTTTTTTTTTAAAAAAAAATTCGGCATAACCTCCCCTAAAAATATGCCTATCACAACCTGCTTAATTGCATTTTTAACCTGTCACGGCTCAAATTCCGAATTCACGGCAATAGTAGATGATAATACACAATCAAATGACCTCGATAATACCTCAAACTAGTATTACTCTCCCCATGCATCAATAAGGTTTACATGATATCAAACTCACATCCAAAATATCATCTAGTAACATAATTATATTACCTAACCATGGTTTTGAAAAATAAATACACATTACTGTACTTTTGGGGCCTTACAAAAATGGGAGATATACAAAAGATACAAAATGAGCTCCAAGTCATCCTTAAGCTTGTGGAAGATCGGCATCCACTACCTCCTTACCGGTTCCTGGAAAATGTTAAATAAAATGGGGTGAGCATAAAGCTTAGTAGAGAGTACCTAAGACGCACCTCTTGTAGCCCCGTGAATCCAAACAAAGCATAGGCCAATAGGAAGAGAGGGTCATGCAAAATGAGGGAAACACATATTAAATTCTAATTCCAAACAATCATATGTAAAATGCCATGAATGCTAGATATGCGTGTCACTCCCAATTTCTTAAAAAACAACCATACTTTTCAAAATGTTAATATAACGTACCCGCCCTTTGGTAATCCCGTAGCGACACGAGAGGAGGATTGGCTAGTGTCCCTGACCCTTGGTAACCCCGTGGCGTCATTATGGGGCCCAGCTAGCTCAACCACGCTAGGGCGACTCCCTAGTCCCCTCTAGGCTATATTAACCTCCGGCCCTTTGGTACCCCCGCGGCGACCGGGTTTCTCAAAAAAAAAAACTTTTTCAACAAAGCTTTCCCGAAAATCCCCATTCTTTCATTTTTCAAAAATCATTTCCATACGTGCAATCCCCAATGATGAATTCATGAATGCCACATCCTTTCAATGTTGTAATATAAGGGATTTCTAACATTTGTCATGCCGTGACAATATCATAAAATGAGAAATTTAATACCACAATTTACCACACATGCTCACAACAATCAACTAAATATTTAGCATTATAATAAGCATGATAAATCAACCATTTATCACAATTTCCATACAATCCAACAAATACACATAGATACATGTTTCACATACACAATTAAATCACTTAAGGAGTAATCCATCTAAATTAAGCATGCTTATCACATAAGTCAACAAACACACATATATAAAATCTTTATATGCACCATTAAATCATTTTTAAAGCAATCAACCTTAAATCAAGCATGTTTGGCCAAAATTCTAGAGGAATAACTCACTAAGGTACAAGAAAAGTGTGAATTAGACACCTTTACCTCTAATTGAGCAAAAACCCCAATTTTCTTCACAAACCCTAGAAATGGGTCCTAAGATTCGAACTCCAAGGAGTGCACTAAATCTGAAATCGCTTGTATGGATGTGTAGAGCTTGACACGAGCTTCGTTTTGTCTTAAACGACACTCAATTTCGATAAGAAATGAGATCAAGATCTTGCTTCAAAGTTTTGGAAATCAAAATGAAAAGAAAAAACAGAGAGGAAGAGGGGAAGAGAGAGGCGCACGGGAGAGAAGGAGAGAAATGAGACCATTTGTGGTCTCTTGGCCCTTAGTTGGTTTAATGGTAGGTCCCACCACCTTTTATTTTCTTTTTTTCCTTTAACTTTTTGCTTAAATTTGAGCCATAACACAACATAATACACATATACATACACACAATTATATATACACTTATGCACATAAATACACAGACATTACATTCTCCCCAACTTAAAAGGATTTTGTCTCCGAAATCAAGACATACCTGAGGAAGAAAACAACGCTGGGTACTTGGACCGAACCTCCTGTTCGAGCTCCCAAGTAGCTTCCTCGACTCCGTGGTGTTTCCAAAGGACTTTCACCATTGGTATCGTCTTGTTCCTCAACTCCTTCTGTTGTGTGTCAAGAATCTGAACTGGTCCTTCCTCATAGGAAACATCCTCATCAATGTCTACATCTACCCAACTCAAAATGTGAGATGGATCTGGTTCGTACTTCTGTAACATCGATACATGGAAAACATTGTGGACCCTATCTAACTGTGGTGGCAAAGCAAGCCTGTAGGCAACCTCTCCTACTCGGTCCAAAATCTCAAACGGTCCAATAAATCGTGGCGACAACTTGCCACTTTTTCTGAATCTCATCAATCCTTTCCGTGGAGAAACTCGTAGAAAAACGTGGTATCCCACTTCAAAGGATAACGGTCGTCTCCGCTTATCCGCATAGCTCTTCTGTTGGCTCTGAGCTGTAAGTAACCTCTGTCTTATCAACTTAATCTTCTCAGTGGTCTCGAGTACAATGTCGGGTCCTAAGGCGGCTGTCTCACCTACCTCAGTCCAACAAACAGGAGACCTACAAGGTCTACCATACAACGCCTCAAATGGAGCCATCTGGATGCTCGCTTGATAACTGTTGTTGTAGGCAAAGTCAATAAGTGGAAGGTGATCCTCCCAACTACCTCCCAAATCAAGTACATATGCCCGAAGCATATCCTCCAAAATCTGGATAGTACGCTCCGACTGACCGTCCATCTGTGGATGGAATGCCGTACTAAGATGCAACGCTGAACCAAACGCTACTTGAAGTCCTTCCCAGAACTTCGAAGTGAACTTAGCATCCCTATCTGACACAATGGTTATAGGAACTCACATAAAGAACACCAAGCTTCTCTGCATCATCTGTTGCCTTAATAGGCAAAAAGTGAGCCGTCTTGGTCAATCTATCAATGATGACCCATACGGCCTCATTGCCCCTCCGTGACCTTGGAAAACCTGTCACAAAATCCATAGCAATATGCTCCCATTTCCATTGCGCTACAGGTAATGGTTGCAACAAACCAGCTTGCCTCTGATGCTCGGCCTTCACCTGCTGCAGGTAAGGCATCTAGCCACAAACTGTGCAACATCATTCTTCATCCCGCTCCACCAATACTGACGTCTTAAATTGTGATACATCTTGGTACCACCTGGATGAACTGCAAAGCGGGAAGTGTGAAACTCCCGTAGGACATCCTCATGACAAACTGTGGGAACCACCAACAAGCCCCTGAACCGTAGACCCCCATCTGCATGCAAGGCCCAATCTTTCACTGTCTCACCACTAGAGATCAAAGCGTGGATGGCATCTAAGTCCGGGTCCTGTCTCCGTGACTCAATTACTCGTACAACAAGAGTAGGCTGAGCCACAAGACTAAATAAGAATGCCGACTCACTGCAACCATCATCATCAAAACACTGTAATTCCATCTCTGCCAGATCTTCAAGCATCTTCCACTTCCGAATAGCTAAACTGGCCAAAGTTCCACGAGATTTTCGGCTTAAGGCATCAGCTACAACATTTGCCTTGCCCGGATGATACTGCAAATCAAAGTTGTAATCTTCCAAGTACTCAACCCATCGTCTCTGTCTGTTATTCAAGTCCTTTTGGGAGAAAAGGTACTTGAGACTTTTGTGATCTGAAAATACCTCGAATCTCTCACCATAAAAATAGTGTCTCCAACACTTCAAGGCAAACACAACTGCCGCTAACTCCAGATCATGAGTAGGGTAGTTAAGCTCGTGAGTCTTCAACTGTCGAGACCCATAAGCCACTACTCTACCATCCTGCATCAACACACACCCCAAACCATCACGTGAAGCATCACAATAGATCACATAACCCAAGCCACGCTCAGGTATCACCAACACTGGCGCTGTAGTCAATCTCGTCTTCAACTCCTGAAAAGATGAATCACAGGCCTCATTCCAGACAAACTTGACCCCTTTCCGGGTCAAACGGGTCATAGGA